ACTAAACACATTGACTCCGGAGTTAGCCAAACTAGGAGCCAAGTTTAGTAAAGCAGTCAAAAATTCGGGCAGAACTTTCCCTTGGATTGGATCGAATGATGATAGAAGTCGGTAACACTCACTATCCACATTCGTATTATCAATGTCATGGGTTGAAACTCCCAACGACTTAAACTGCACTAATCGAGAAAGGCGCATCACCTCTAACGAGAATGACAAATGCTCCAAATACCTAGCCCTCAAATCAGACTTAGTTTTTTGCTGGCCGATTTACGCTGGTTAAATTTGTTTGTGTTTGCGACTTTATTTTTGCACTCTAGTTGGTCAAAAGATTCTGGATGAATTTGTCTCCTTGGTGAGTTTAAATGTGAGATCATAATTCCGTTGTACCCATTTGTCAGCACTACCGACATCATGCTCCATATCCCAAGCAAGATACGGAAAAAGGTGTGCTTTTCAATCCGACTGGGCATGAAGCCTTCCTCTTCAAATAGCGATGCCAGCACATACATCCAGGAGGAGAAGGGTTGCATCTTGAATGGAAGGATGTGCTGACCCACTGTTGTCAAAGTGATAATTGTAAGAACGGCTGTCCCCAAGGCGAGCCAAAGTCCTGGTTGGAATGGAGTTAAATAAAAGTCTAAAGTAAGATAGGGTTCGGTGTAACATGTCAAACACTGATATCCAGCAAAATCGGTTTGGATTATTGTAACGTCAAGATCTTCAGGGGATGTTCAGCGTTAAATTTTAGCTGAACATGTCTACTACTTCTAAATAAGCATCGTGGATACTTTGCAAGACTAACGTTAGCTGTAGAGAAAATTTGCAAAGCTAACTGCTTTATAAATGGACCAACTAGGTTTTTCTGAATAGCGGGTAAAAGAATCTCGAACTTCTCAAAATTTGGGACACACCATTCCTCCCACTGCGATGTCTCTTTGTCAACTAAGGACGCATAATTTCTTTCAATAAGATTTATTTCAGATATGCATCTCATTGGCCCCAATGAGACTCCCGTCACCTTTACTAATTGGGGGAAACATACATCGAAACTTTTATCTTGCGAAGAAACAATTACCGCGAAATGGTAAAACATTGGCTGTTGAAATTTGATCCTCATTAATTCTGGTAAGTCTGACCTATTTATGACTACTGTAATAATTGCGTTGGTATTTGGTATTTTTTTCTTTTCTCGAAATGTGGTACAGTAAAGATTATAGTTTAATGCAATTTTAACCCAGTGATTTACAAGATCATAGAATGGACGGCGAGAGTTTTTAGTTATATCGCCCAAAAAGATAAAACCCAGCCGACAAGGAGAAGCACGAGCTTTAAGGATGTCAAGGGCAGAAAGCCTATATAATTCCGAGCCGACAGATAATCTTCGAGATTCGTACTCCGTCCTTGATATCGTGGTGGTTGCCATGTATAAATCACTGAACGACAATTGGTTTCGGTAATCCGTCGAATGTATAATTTGTAAGTCGCATCCACTTCAATTACTGAGCAAATCGCGATAACTTGATTGTGTGATCGGATGAAGGACATGACCAAGTTGGACTAAAATAAAGGTTAACCATGGGTGGAGAGAGAATAAGTTTTTTGGAAACATTTTATGTCTTAAAGTAAAAAATCAAAATGCCTGATGAAAAATATAAAAAGTACACAGGAATGTATGATTGTGATATTTTGTCTTGTAAAACTTTTATAATCTATTTTCCGTTAATCTGGAGTTACTTCGTTGCATAAAATAACAATTGTACGATTCTTACAAATAAGAAATAATTAAAGGAATTGCTTAAAAATTATCTATCTATTATTATAAAGATAACGTCATGGGAAAAGAGTGCTAGAATAATTCATATGTATATTTAGGAGAAAGCTATACTTAAATAATTTAATCCTTCTCTGCTTTTTGCTTCAAGTTGGAACACAATTTTATAGTTGCTAGCCGAAACAGGCACGACTTGGGTGGTAATTAATTAAAGTGCGAACTTTTGAATAATTCTTGTGGTTGTTTGAAACATTTAATTTTGTTAATTCATTTTCTATTGAAGTACAATTTCATTATGCATGTACTTATGTAACATCTACAACACGCAGTAAACAAGTTTCGTGGTCATGAAATACAAAAGCGAATCTCGTACACTTATCCTCAAGTTGATATAGATACTTATACATATCTACATATGTATATGTAGTGTACATGAATTATCTGGCCACCACAAAACATGGGCCCACCCGACATCGGAAGTTGCTGAAACTTTTGTTTTGATTATGTTCCCGGTGCTATTTTTCTGATATTGTCCCAAAACGTTTACCTTCATTTGTGGAAAGAAATTGTAAAAAAATAACTTGAGATGACATGGGGGTTGTTGTTCACTAATGTGGTGCTCCAAACTATCCAAAGGGCATCGAGATCTGTGTTTGGCAAGTAGTGAGGTTCCCCTCCTTAGTTTTTATCTAAGTTGTCCATAGCTCAGATCGTGGCAGTAATACCTGAACCCGGCAAGTCCGTCAAGATTGGATTTCTTTTCATCCCTGAAGAAGATCATATGTCTGTCTGTGTCTCAGGAAGAACGTTATCGAGCAAAATCAGGTCTCGCCAGCTTATACGTATTGGCTGGTGCTGGATGACCAACCTATTTGCACCACTGAAGGCAAAGAAAGTTCCATAAAACGCATCGAAATGTGCTAAAGGAAAGTTTGTCATTGAAAATTTGCACTATATCTCGGGTTAATGTCTATTGGCCGCTAGCAAACTTCACAATTTACCGTTTGTCACTTCCAGGTGTGGTTTCTGGACACGTACCAATTTTTCTGGTCCCCTAATTTGCGCCTTGTTTGATATATATAATCATGAATTGCCGTTTTAGATTGGGAAAAAAGTCTTCAAATCTCTCTTCCGGTTTTTTCCTGGACGTCAAGTTCCATAAATGATTTCACCTTTCCATCGTGGAATTGATTTAGTTTGACCGTCTGAACTAATGCAGGAATGAGTGAGAATTAAAATTCTAAGGTGGTCTCATCATTTTGGCTCAACTATGTCATATCCTCTGTAATTCCCAATTTATTCAGCCCGAACTTACCACCAGAACTGGTAATGACGTCACTTATCACCATGCATAATATCATTCGACCAGGAACTGAGCTCCTTAAAAAAATCATACTGTTCTTAAGATTAAAAATCATACCCTCAGTAAAATCAATTCAGCAGCTGTTACTTCAAATAATTAGGTAATTGCATGCTGCATATGATATGCAAGGATGGGTCACGTACAAGAAGTAAAATTAAAATATTAAACGATTTTAGTCTTCTAACTTATTGCTTCCTCGGTTGATTTATTGCTTTCTCGGTTGTACTTTTCGAGTCGAAAGTTGAAAAATATGGAGATTAAAGTTTGAAAATTATTCGAATTTATTTCATCCTAATTCTAACCATCATTTCGTTAACGTTCGCATCCGTCCCGTTCCTTTGATTGGTGCTACCAAACGTTGTCCCCCAAATTCTCAATTCTTTGAAAAAGCTTTTGAAATTTACAAGAGGTAAGTGTTTAAAGGTTTAGGTTTAGATTTAGGTTTTTTTTTATTAGGTATCCATAGTTGGGGTTATAAAAATATACATTTAAAAGCTTTAAAAGTAGGAAAATATTATGAAAAATCCAATTATCTCGAAATTTGAATTTCAAAATTTTTTGCCAGTTTTTGAAATTCATTAAAATTATAAACTCTTTCAAATTTTTAATTGTTCAAAAAATAATGCAATTTGATTTTTAACTAGTCAAGTAAGTCATTCTGAAGAGACAAGTTTTCGAATTTTTGGATTCGCGCTAAAATTCGAAAATTTAAAGAATTTTTGAAAACCGAGATTTTGGCTGGAAAACAGTTTAAAATTCGCGCCTCGCGCTCAAATTAGCGCACTAGGAAAAATGCAAAAATACGGGTATGCTTATTTTTTGTGGTGAACAAAATAAAATTGGTCCCATTGAGATCTGAGTTGTACACGTAAAAGACTTGCATTGTAAGTATTAGTTTGAAAATCGAACAACTCGCATTAGAAAAAACACAAAGCCTCGTGCCTCACTTCTGGTTATTTTCGAGTGTGGAACATTAAAAAATTACTCCAGTCGAAATCAGAATAAACCAATTCATATTTTTAGTACCTTATGTGCTTATATTTTGTTGAAATGTGTGCGGCATGTTGCAAGGTTCATATTGCGTCGGAAAAGTTATGAACCGGTATGTAACATACTTAATGCAAAACGAACAAAATGGATGTTACCTAAACAAAATAATTATTATAAATCCCTATGTTTTATATATTCACTGCAGAATAACGAAATTCCATTCCTGGAAGGTTTTATTAAAAAATGCATGACTTTTTACAGATATCCAACCTGAACCGCGCTTAATTTGAGAGGTTACTTCTGTCCAAAAAACATAATCGGCGAGAAAAGTATGCATTTTCACCCTGTTAGTGCATGGAATGCCCTCCCGATAAAGATAATATAAGAAATTGTACGGATAGGAAGATGTTCAGAGCTAAACTAAGAAACCACATTTTAATCAAACGACACGATTACATTTCAACTATACTCGTTGTACATAATTGCAAAACCTATACATAAATGTATGACACTAAAGTGTAATAAGTTTCTGATTATATCTAACTTATTCAATTATTTGACAAATTTACACCAAACTCACGTGCTGTGAAATTCAAATATGTCAGGCATAACGAACATTGTAAAGAAACAAGCTTGCTCCATAAATAACAATAATGAGGGTATTCGTTATTTCTTCGTATCCATCGTATCGTAAAATAGTTTACGAAGATAAAACAAGGGGTCAGGTTTCGTAAAAATCGTAAGCGTAGTAACGTGATTTTCGATGACAAAATCTTACGACGCTTAAAAAATCTCGTAAGCTTCGTAAGTTATTTTACGATACGAAGAATACTAAGGATACGAAGAAATAATGAATACCCTCAATATATTTAATAGGTCCTTAATACAAATTATAGAATTCAAATGGTAATTATAAAATTTGGCCTGGCCTTAAGAAATTCCCAGGGACGGAACAGGCTAGTTTAGGCACTGAAATACTTCCCAATAAAATAAAATAATGCACTCAGGACATAACCCAATGAACATATTTACATAATGCGTTCCGTCCACAAAATATTAATCCGCAATTTCTTTATGAGTTTTGTTCTTGTGTGATTCCAGCCTTCTCTGGGATACGAATCCTATCGAACATTCGTCACATTTGAACTTCATCTTCTTTTGCCTGAATTTATCATATTGTTTTCTTCGTTTTTCCATCATTTCCTTCTTCGCCTCCTCGTCATCTGCGCAAACCAGGGTGGAGTGAAGTTTCAAGTTCCATCCTTGTCGAAACCGCTTGCCACACTTGGGACAGAGATGAGGCTTGGGTTCCTTATGCAAAAATTAGTGCAGGTCCAGGGCGGCTTGGGTGGTAAATTTGTTTGTACAAAAGTTGCAGTCCAATATTTTATGGGAATGGAGATGGTGGGATAGTCGAAGAAGCTGGTTGCGAAATATGTCCCCACAGAAGAAGTAACGAGCTCGCGAATTTTCGGTCTGAAATATTTTAAATTTTGTATGAAGTGGGGTTTTATATATCTCGAGTATGTAAATTATGTACATCTAGCAGAATCTGGGTGATATGAATCACTTGGCGAGACTTAATAAAATTTATTGATACATATCAAACATCTCAATCGTGCCTTGGTGAGAAATATGAAAAATACTGAAGTACTCTAAATCCACGCAAGATTGAACTTTTACAGAAATTGAGAAGTCTGAGAAACTACGCCCCTGCCAGTCTCACAGTTCCCTGTCAATATGATTTGAGGGAATTTGAGACTGACAGGGGCGTTGTTTCTCAATTTCTGTCAAAGTTCAATCTTGCGTGGATTTAGAGTATTAAACCTCATTATTTAAGTATACCTAAGATATACTTGTGGTGCATAACGACGTCCGCTAGAAGGCGCTACAACACGTTTCAGAAATCTGTTAATTTCTCAAATCTCACTATTGCTCATTATATCTCACGTTCCAAGGCGCCAGTCGAGTCCTAGGTCCTAACCCTGGACTCGACGGGCACCTTAGAAGGTTTCCTTGTGAGATTAAGATTTCTACATCCCTGAGCAGAATGTACTCTTTGAAAACTTCATTACAAACGCAGTCTCACAATTAAGCGTATTTGATAAGATAAGAACCCAACTTACAATTTTATCCGAATTGCACGCCTCCAAATGCTTTATCCATTCTTCTTCGGTACTAAATTCCACCTCCGAACAACCATACGGACAAAACCGCTTATCTTGAAAATGTTGGAGTTCTATGTGTCGTTTGAGGTCAGCTTTTGTTGTCCTGCTTTCCAGGCAAACTTCACACTTGAACCGTTCCCTTTTCAACTTTGGATCGATGCTATTATTTTTTGCTTCAGATTTCCCATTCTTCGCTCCGTGACATTTTCTCATATGAATTCTCAAGCCAGAATTATAAGTATATTCCTTATCGCAAAGTTTGCACTTGGAGCGAAATCCTTTGTGGAATGATTTCACGTGTTTCTGCCTACTGCGAAAGTCTGTGAATCTTTTTGTGCATAACTTGCAACCATAAGCTTTCTCTTCGTTAGGAATGAATCTAAATATTATAAAAGTAAATGTAATTATTATTGCTGCGATTAGTTATCTACTTCGGAGGGAATGCTTCGTCAATTCATCTAAAGTCTCGCAATGTTTCGCACATGTTCCGCAAACGAAAGCTCGATCATGAACATCTCTAATGTGTCTTTCAAGTTTTGTATCCGAGGGGTATTTTTACCGCACTTGTCGCACTGGAATTTCCTAAATACAGGGTGGTTTAAATGTCAGGTTACAATGGAAAAATTTTCAATGGGAAACATTCGTAAATTTCCATTAGTTACGGATTTGGGATTGAGATTTTAATTAATTTTTATCAAAACTTATGGAACACTGCACTATAAGAAACCCGGTAAGTAAGTTATTACCAGACGGAGTATCTATGTGACTCTACCGCATGGTGATTAATTTATTATTGCGTGGTAGAAATTTAGTTACCGACTGGTAATATTTTCAAATTTCGAGACCGGGGTTATCACCGGTTTGGTAACAAAATGTCTACCACTCACTAATAAGTTAATTATAATGCGGTAGAGTAACATAGATACTCCGTCTGGTAATAACTTACTTACCGGGTTTCTTAGAGTGTGATGACAAAATTCGTAAAATATTGAATTTCAGAGCCAAAATTCCCGTAACTTGTGGAGATTTGCGAATTTTTCCCATTGAAAAATTTCCCATTGCAACCTGACACTTAAACCACCCTGTATGAACTAATGAAATATTAAAAAATTGCGACATTTAAACTGCGCATATAAAGTCTTGATACCCTGAAAGAATTCCGGTGTCTCAAAAATTAAAATCTCAAGGAGGTCATGGGCTTCGACCTTTTTTTTAAATTTAAATAATTTGCAATTCTTTCTGGACTAGTGTTCAGTCAGCAAAATGTTGAAGTATTGAATCCATTAGTTTCTGAGTTATTGGAATTTTTTAAGGGAAACAAGACTTTGTGTGCACACTATGTAGGACATACATTGTTGTTTCCAGCTTTTCAACCGCATCATCTCCCGCTGCGATGGCATGCAGACGTGTTTGCAAATGGATTTTGTAGGCACGTGTCCTTGAGAACGACTTGTCACAAATCTGACAGAATTTTTCGTTTACGAAATGCACCGATTTCTTGTGTTGTCGAAGTTGCGGGAAATCCGTAAATTCTTGGTCAGGACATTGGTCGCATGTAAAAATTATGCTCCCTTGTGAATCCACTCTGAATTTCAAAAATATATAATTTCATAAATGTTGCCATAAGGGTTTTTAATTAAACTAATTTCACCGAGCTTTCTAATTCATTGGCAAATCTAATTAGTTACTAGATTAAATATTTAAAGCATGACATTTAATTAATATTTAGCATCGCGGAACCTAATTCAAGTTACTAATTAATTAGTTAACAAGAATCCTAAGTAAGGAATTACAGTTCTATGTAATTAGCAAAGAATTGTCAATTACTTGATCATTGTGTTAATACATAATGAAGTTAGTTAATTAATATAGTCGACGACTTCAGCCAAATTAATAGTTATTTAAGAAAAAAATGTTTCTTTCGGCTTTCCAATTACTAACTAATTGCAGTTAAAATTATCAGTTACATTTAGAAAAAGTGACTAATTAGAAAGCTCTGATTATGAAAGTAACAATTTTCATACATTTGATCCTTGATTGCCGAGCGATGTCGATAACTTTGCGAATGCATGACTTCTTGTGAACACGGGTATCTCGCAGAACAAATTTCGCAATGTTTTATCGATCTAAAAATACATGGAGAAATATTTAGTTAACAAAAACACAGTGGTTTCACATATTTGGAGGTCAACGCTACCGATCATACATTTTTGTTTGACCCTCCGTACGACGACAAGCTTTTTTCCTAAAGCTTAGTTTTGCTGAAGGGGCCTCCTCATATTCTTCTGATAGCTCCTGATCTGATAAACTATTAATAAATAGAATAAATTGTTATGCACATATTTTTGCATAAGTATTTTTGTTGATTGCACGTACCCAGAATTATTACTTGAATCGGATTCCGTCTCATGTGTAATTATTTTTGTTTTGTTAAGTTCATGCTTTGCTATTTTGTTGATCAATTGTTCTGCCCGGAGTCGACTTTGGTGTGACCGTTTCAAGACTGGTTCTTCTAAGGAATGTACTAATTCATCCGCAGGTCTTCTATAATGCCCAAAAAGAAAGATATAGTATTAGCTTAATCGTGCATAAAAAGAAACATGTCGTTGATAATTATAAAAATTCCAGTCTCTGCTTAATTTTAAAATGTGTTAAGTGCAATCTCTTATTAATTCTGGCCAAACTGCATAATAAAAAATACGTGATATTTGAATGTATGTATGAACAATATTGCAGTAGAGAAGTAGTCATGGAGAAATATTATACCAGGTGGAGGCCAATTGGTATATTTCTCCATAACTACTTGTCCTTTAAATTTTAAAAATTAATTTTTTTTTAAATTTTACATATCATGTAAAATTTTATAATATTGCAATTGCACTTGTGCGTTTTCCTTAATGGGGGAAATACCTAACAACGAAAAAAAAAGTATTTGTGTATTACGCACATATGTAAGTAGGACTTTTCAAAATTAAGCGACTAATTCACTTAGGACTTTTCAGAATTAGTTCGTGTCTTCAATCTTGTATATACATATAAGTACACCTGCTTTTCTTCCTTCTTCCCGAAGTTTCACCCATCCATGGATTATTTTCGTGGCGACGTAGCTTCCAAAGTTTGTCGAACACGACGCCACAACCGTGACATTTTAAATTCAAGGAATCATTAGTTGCCTCGACATTATTAGACTGTAAATCAGTGTGGCTTAAAATTGATTTCAAATCGTCTTGATTCTCGTCATGTGGAAGCTCTGCAGCGAACATTTTTACATCCATGTCGTCCTCCATAGATTCGTCGTGGAATTCAACCTCCTCCAACTTAATTTCTTTAATTTCGAAACCACTAATGCCTTCCACTTCTGTAGCACATTTTTCGCCATCTGGTAAAGTTTCTCGTTCCAAATCCACAAATTCCTGCCTTCTTGTTCCACCACAAATTGATTTAAAGGACGCATTGTTATCCCCAGCTGCGGATTCATTTCCTGCGCTAATGTGTACAAATATTATTTTTCAAACATTTGCTTACTTTTGTTGACTAATGTTTTTTTACAATGCTTACTATTTTTGGCTTCATACAGCACCAGGGCATAAATTTAAACCCACTCGTATGCTGCGCGCCCCGATGGCTCAAGCTTATCAGTAGATTTTATTCAGCCGTCGGGTTTAGGTTTATGTTGTACAGAATTTAACTGGCTTTCCAACGGTACTACATTTGATTATGAAAAAACTAACGGGTATGCGTAATTAATCATACCAAAAAAAACACAAAAAAATTTAGCTGCAAAAGTTTAAACCCGCTCCTTATTAAAAATTACTTCGCAATGAAGGGGGGTTAAGGCAAGGGTTTAGCAATTATTTACATTCATCCTAGGTACTCTACTTGCAGAAAAAGCTAAGAAATGGGAAAAAATCAGGAGTTGATCATTGCGATAACAAATTATTTTTAAATCTCCACGAGCGAGACCTGGGGCACATAAAAATTAGTGCTACTACCAAATTTAACAAAAATTCAATTAAAAAAATGATTAGGAAATAGAACAATATAGCTACTGTACCAAATAAGCCTAAATCGGGACGGCCAGCAGTCAAATTTAAGCGAATTGACTTAAATATTGCTTCAAAGGAAATCCAAAATCGTGGGATGGCACTCCAAAATTTGACCTCCGACAGCAAGGGGAATTGTGAGATCCAAATTAGCCGATTAATTGTGAAGGGGAGACCCAATAAACAAAACTTCAGGCGATGATGAGCTCGAAAAAAAAATGTGCCTACCTGTGAAAAGCTTAACCCGAAGCCTGAAATGGGCCAATAAGCATTCTGAAATGTCTTTAACGTGGAAAATGAATGTATTGTCCGTTGCGTACAAGTCATTGCTGTTTAAGACCTTCCCCAGGTCTCCCCCAAACATAATTCACCCCTTTATTCACCAAAATATCAAGTTTTATTTTTGTCGACCATGATACCTTGATCCAGTTTTGGGTGGTTTATCCAGAATGCTTATTGGCCCATTTCGAGCTTCGGGTTAAGCTTTTCACAGGTAGGCACATTTTTTTTCGAGCTCATCATCGCCTGAAGTTTTGTTTATTGGGTCTCCCCTTCACAATTAATCGGCTAATTTGGATCTCACAATTCCCCTTGCTGTCGGAGGTCAAATTTTGGAGTGCCATCCCACGATTTTGGATTTCCTTTGAAGCAATATTTAAGTCAATTCGCTTAAATTTGACTGCTGGCCGTCCCGATTTAGGCTTATTTGGTACAGTAGCTATATTGTTCTCTTTCCTAATCATTGTTTTAATTGAATTTTTGTTAAATTTGGTAGTAGCACTAATTTTTATGTGCCCCAGGTCTCGCTCGTGGAGATTTCAAATAATTTGTTATCGCAATGATCAACTCCTGATTTTTTTCCATTTCTTAGCTTTTTCTGCAAGTAGAGTACCTAGGATGAATGTAAATAATTGCTAAACCCTTGCCTTAACCCCCCTTCATTGTGAAGTAATTTTTAATAAGGAGCGGGTTTAAACTTTTGCAGCTAAATTTTTTTGTGTTTTTTTTGGTATGATTAATTACGCATACCCGTTAGTTTTTTCATAATCAAATGTAGTACCGTTGGAAAGCCAGTTAAATTCTGTGCAACATAAACCTAAACCCGACGGCTGAATAAAATCTACTGATAAGCTTGAGCCATCGGGGCGCGCAGCATACGAGTGGGTTTAAATTTATGCCCTGGTGCTGTAACTTATTTTAATCACGGTTTTAAGGCAGGTAGTTATCCGTTCGAGTTGTTGCTTTAAGTCGACTACTTTTTTCAATGTGGCGGAACAAAATTCACAAATTGAGGCAGGATTGTCGTAAATGAATTTATCGAAGGAACTGACCGCGACGCTGTGAAATATTTCCACCTCTTTTTCACATAATGGACGAAGTATACCGGAAATGGAACAAATTGAACAATATGATAAGTCTTGAGCTTCATGGTTTTGAGAAATAGTACTGGGAGGAGGAACAACTGTTGATTTTTTCAACTTTTTCGTAAAAACGACACAAGAGAGTAAATCTTGTAGCAAATTTCCGGTACCTTTTCTAATATAATCGGTCATACTAAATAATTAGACAACTTTTATATATATGTAGCACTGGAACAATGCGAAATTAATGCTAGAACTAATAAATCCGTAGTAAAATGAGTATCAGATAAAATACATAATACGATTAATTCGTCTAAAAATAAGTGAACATGTGTTGATTTTGTGCTCACTTTTTTCTCTCACTCTTTGTCCAACCCGTTATTTGCATGAAGAAGCATAATAATATGTAAGCATTTGTTTTCTCACAATGTTGAAATCTCACATTTGACGCGTTATTATTTTTAATGGAATTGTTGAAGGATTTATGTATCCTAAATTTTGCAATACAAATTGTTTAACATACAGTAAATTATTTCGAGCTAAGCATAATTGAATTTACAATTTTGACGTAAAAGTTTGAATAGTTATGTTATGATATAATTTTTAATTATATAGTTTTTTAAACGGATATTAATTAGCAGACTATTTTTTAATGTATGGAAAATAATTTGGATGTGTAGAGAACATGTGCAACGACTCAAGTGTATTTTCCTATCAATTTGGCTCAATTACCATAATTGGTTTCTTACTGATGAATACAAAGCAATTCTATTACAAAATTTAAAACTCTATCCAGCGATGTGAAAATTAGGCCTTTATCCACGAAGAAAAAAGGACTCGCCAATTCCAGTTTAATTGGTCTGAGAGATCTACAAATTTTACGAAATGCAGTCTTTCTCCAGATCTGGGGTTTAGAGCGGGCCAATTTTTCCGTAAATGATGCCGAAACTTGGTACACCCAGGAGGGTTAAAATCCCCAGAAGTTTCTGATTCTACTTTTGTATTCTCAATTTTTTCCCCATTTTCTTGAACCACAGGGGCATCCACGGTTGGCGTTATCATTACCAACCAGACGAATGCCGACCATAAATAGATGAATAGCGACAGAATTATTATGCTCAGAGGGGTGATCACATTGAGCAGAAAACATACAAAAATTAGCGATAATGGGAGAAATTTTAACTCCATTTTTGGTTTGATGGCAAACAACGCTTCTAAAAATCGATGCGTTGGTTCAATCTCTTCAAAGAGTAGGAGACCAAAGCCAGGCAACATTCCGGTAAACATGGAAAAATTCCACATCGCGGGGACTAAGATGTGCAAAATTTTGTTGAGTTTGATGAGTTTGTGAGAAGTTGGAATGACATGGGTGAGGCGTCCTGTGTAAAAAAAAATTGAAATTGTAAATATTTTTTCGGTACTACGTGCATGACTCTATAGATATGAAATATGTGATAGTGTTATTATTGCTTTTCAAAAATAAGTTGCAACAAACTATTTTTTTTTCTAAGTTTTTACAAAATATCTCTTAGAAAATAATTAAGGTTAGCAGAAGGTGATTAATTATTCTGCAAAATGAATTACAAATTGTGCATTCTATGATTATTTCTACGGTATTTTGTGGGAAATTCGATGGTAAAAAGTGAATTTTTTCTGACATTTTCCTTCTGAAACTTTGGAATTTTCCCTATACCGACCAATGTTAAAAAGCTGTTTTTTCGTGTTTTTCGTCAAAAAACTCGAAAGTTGGAAATTGGTTGAAAAATTTAATTGGTGCTAGCAGATGGAATTATGTAATCAATATCGTACCGAAGGGAAATATTGTTTAAAAATCAGTAGTACGAAAGAGGTTAAGTGATATTTAGACTATATAAATTTTATGGATTATGTAGGTAGAATTACCTTAAAATTATCTAGACACATTTCATCATGGCGATACATATGATAAATAAATTGATCCTATAATTGCTTACTTTGCAACAAATCGTCCAAATCCAGCATTCCGTTGAACCATGAAATCATAGCGTCCCTCTTCAAAATGAAGAGGAAGGAGATAATTGTGGCAATCTGATTTATCCCGGAGTGTAAGATGTCCACCAATAAAAATAAAGTATTCCGATCTGACGAATTGGATTGTTTCAATTTAGGCAAAAGTAGAGAAATTTCGAGCAGGGTGTAAATTAAGAGCACCACGGCCCAAAAGTATGCCCCACAGAGTCGCCTTCGGTCTGCTCGTTGAAGTCGATTTTTTGCAAAATTCCAAGCGATCGGACTCGAAGAGATGATTTCGTTGACACGGATTCGCAGTCCGAACAACTTGATGGCAATTTTTGTAATCATTTTCAAATTGCGGAGGATATATTGGCTCGTCTGTGTTTCTGGGGATACTAATCGCGATTCAGGGTTATATTTTGTAAAAATAATGTTTAAGTAAGGGTTGGTTTATGTATGTCCTTCGGTTCTTGGATATTCCGATGACTTATGTATATAAATAAGACATATTTCTATTTTTGAAATCGATGGGTTATATCTTGAATTATGTTTAGAAAATTACATTAGCGACCTTTAAGAATGGCTTTTGTCCTAAGCCTAAGTTGCAAATATGTAATTTTTGTATTTTTGCCAATATTTGATCCCCAACTTATAAAACTAGTAAGTGATGAATATTTCAGTATAATTGCCCACGTGTAAATAGCTTAAAAACTTAGTTCAACTTAAAAATTAAGATGTCAAATACGCATACATACAAGACACTGTGGGTAAGTAGGTTTTATAAAATATTTACATTCAAGCAATAATATCACAAAATCGAGGATTTCACCAAGACAATAAGTATTTGTAAATAAATAAGCAAGTTCATTAGAGAAAGCAAGCTACGTTATTAATATCGCAACTTGAATAAGGAAATCTAGTTATTTTATACGTTTTGAATTTTACCTCATTGTTTGGCGAGGTTGGAGTCGCTTGGAATTGGAAATATGTAACCTGTTTTGAAGTTAAGTTTTGTTATTGATGGTTATATAAATGAAATGGATGAACATGTTCATTTTCAAATATTATTTATACATAGAGTGGATCCTATAGGAACCCGTTCACTAAGATGTTTAGTAGCGGCGTCGTCAAAAATAGGTTTAGACATCTGAAATTCTTGCAGAATATGCTAAATATATCTCACTATGCGTCCTCAAAATTTCATAAAGTTTCAATGGAAAATAAATTTCCTACGCTACTTAAAAGTCAAGAACTCGGGAATCGAGCTTTTTGTAAGTACCAAAATTTGAGTGACAACCACTCGAAGAAAACTTGACTGAATTTCAACTGAGAAGGGCGTGGCCGTGCAAAAATTAAGACTGACATAAAAAAGTATGGAGAATTCGAAAATATCAACCTTAAATACGCACCATGAGAAAAAACCATCATAGTGACCCCCGTTAAATTAAAAACGATTTAATTTATTTTTGGAAAATGTCGCTCGACGTCCGTGCCTGATGTAGCCACAAAGTCGGAAATCAATTCAAACTACTTTTATCATACTAAAGCCCATAAATTGTGGTTCAAAGTATATGCACAAAAATCTGCACCAAAACACACGAAAGGTCAAGAAAAAATGATAAACGCAAGACCTCCCAAGCTTTACAACAAAAGTTTACCAAAAAAGTTGTTCATTCACGATGAGTCCTACGTGATTAAAAACCTGACAGAAACTCTGGGAAGGCAATTTTTCATGGGAAATATATCTCTCAACTGAAAACCAAACAGAAATTAAAATGTTTTTAGAAACTTCTCCAAAAATCTCAGGTTTGGCAGGCGTTGGGCCAATTTTGGCATGTTTCGCACCCTTCTGTTCAAAATGGCGGTGAGGACGCACAAGTTTTTTTTTACGAAAAATGTGATAGGCCGTCTGATTCCTTTCATCAATGAGTACAATAAAATATAAAATGTAATTTTTGGTCGTACCTTGAACCAATCCATAATGCAACAACTATCAAGGAAAAAATCGAGAAAAAAATCATTTTCATGATGAGAAATGATAATCCAACATACCTAGTGGGCCCAGGCTAAGTGTTAGTAGCTAATAACTTAAAACTTAATAAAACCGCTGGAGATAATGAAAATCTGATAAGTGCGTTGGATTCCTCGTGCGATTTTGCCTAAATGCCATATATCAGTTTTTAATTGCTTGCAAAGCATATTGGGTGTGTATATCCAGAAAGGACGCGGGCGACCATAATTTTTCACCAAAAAAATGGGACGAGAAATGGCGGATTTGACAAATGTGAAAGGAGACGAACGTGTACTTTAATTTAGTTCAACTGACTATAAAACCTTCATGGAGACCGGATGGACTAAAAACAGTCGAAGAAAATTTTTTTGAAACCCTCCAAGGACCACACCCATCATGAAACCGCTTAAGGATAGAATCCGAAGGAATGCACGAAATTCCAGCGGAAAATAGCCCTACAGCTGACAATGTCGATGCACATTATCCAACGAGTGCTCAAACTGAACCTTAGGCTTTGAAACGCAGTACTTGCCACCTCCTGATCAATCCCTTAAAGAAAGCCATACTAAAGAAATGAAGGGCTCTCCTCAAGCGGTATGCTCCAAAAAAGTGAACAGGATTCTTTTTGCAGATGAGGAGATGTTCACACTGGAAAATTTTTTTAACAAACGAGTTGACCTTATCTACGCCAAATCGGTCAAAGACATCCCCCAATATAGACAAAAGGTCAAAAAGTCACATTACCCAGGTTTTGTCATCGTTTTGGTAGGTGGGAGCAAATTGGGGTAATTTCCCTACATTTTGTTGAAATTGGGGGGAATGTGGGGGGATCAAATTTCTTAAAATATGTTTTCGAGTCCGTGGTACATCCACTAAGTGAGATCCAATTCAATGGAATCGATTAGACCTCTTAAAACAACTCAGCACGAGCTTATAGTGGAAAAAATGGCCGAAGCGTGCTTAAAAAAACAAATTCCGGACATGATCTCTAATTGGGAATGGTCATCCTCCTTTCTGGATTTGAACGCCCGGATTATGAAAAATGACCAAAGTTGGGGGCAAAGGTCTGTTCTAAGCCTCATAGAAGTCTGACAGCTTTAAACAAATTTTTGACCACGAAATGGAGCAACTTGTCCACGAATTCCGAGCGTGCTCCAATCGAGGGCGGTAGGCCGCATCCTCAGCTCTGCATGAATTTTGGCGAAGGAAATTTCGGAAACCAAAAATTGTTTTCTACTTAAAAATTAACTGGCTTTACATTAAAATTTACTAGAAATTTGTAGCACAAAAACTGTTGAAGCTACAGCGTTTCAATCTACTAACACTTTACTTGGGCCACCTAGTACATCCACTATCTTAGGTCAACTAAAAAAATGGGCTATATCTAAGAAGGCATACTCCCAGCATTGTGAAACAGTCGATACTTAACGGAAATTTTGGTTAGGGGGGGGGGAGAAAATTAACAATGAAGTTGGAAAAAAAGCTCTTCGGGAAAAGCATAAATGGCGGGCGCGACGAAAAATGCTAAACACTAAGTGGATAATGGATAAAGGTATCCTTTCTGCGCAGATGCCTAACGTCAGTAATGTTTGTAATATACTCAGGGTTTCGATTGGTAAAAACCAAATTGACCAGGGCAGCGGGAAAAAGTGGGAAAAAGGCATTTTTACCACCCACCCAAAATGGGTGGGAAATGGGAAAAATGGAAGAAATGGGAAAAACTCTGGTTTTGGGGCAATCCGAAACAACTTTTTTTAAACTTCAGATTTTCGAATTTTGACTTTAAATTCGTATTCTCCATCAAATTCTGAGAAAATTAGTTAGTAATACGGTTCAATTCGAACAATCTCTAAAATTAACATGTATTCATATGGGAAAATTGGAAAAATAATTAAAACTGATCAAAAGTGCCCGTATTACATATCAAAATTTTCAAAAATTCGTGGAGATCACGAATATGAAGTCCAATTCCGGAAATATTGATTATTAAAGAAGTTAGCTTCCCCATAACTAAATACATGGGCAGCCATATTTCCCATTTTGGACGGTAAAAACCGTTTTTCCCGGTTTTTACCACTTTTTCCCTGCTGCCGTGGTAAAAAATCGTTTTTGACGGGAAAAACGAAACCCTGAATATCATACAAAAATTTGACATGTGAAAAATCATTTTTGACCATTTTGAGGCCAAATTTCCTAGTTATGGGGTTCCTATTGGATCCACTCTAGCTTATATTGCTAAATTATCTACGTATCTTGAGCTAAATAAATGTGTAGCAAGTAGGGCGTCCAGAATTGGAAAGTTTTGAAGAACTGGTTTTTCGATTGCTCAGATTTTTGAAATTTTTCTAATACCGATTTTCGATTAATCGGAAAATATTTGAAAATTTGGAAATATTGAAGATTTAGAAAGAGGATGACACAACTTCTGCCAAATTTTGCAAAATTGTCGAGTAAATTTTACCTTTTGGTTGTGTCATCCTCTTTTTTACTCAACGAGTAAAATTTGTTTATTTTTATTTAGAGCGTACCAATTTTGCGTAAATGAAAATTAAATAAATGAGTTCAATTACACATAAATAAAAGCAATTCAGTTGTGGAATTTGAGTATTTTAGTATGTATGTTTTTCTCATGTTTCCCAATAATTTTGAATATGCCGGTCTAAAGCCTACGTGCGAGGGGACTGTTATATTTTTTAGTCTAGTCTTGTTGCTGAGAGTGAGAGAGAATGAACAAGTTTTGATAATTGATCTTTATAATTAATTTGTTGAGTGTGATCAATTTAATTGTTGCAATAAATAGTTTGAGTAAATGAATAAACATTATTGATAACTTAGTTCGCATTAAATTCTCTTCTCAATTAAAGTTTAGTTATCTTTTCCTTCCACCCTTCACTTCATTTTCGTGGTACGGTGAACGACGGGTAGTTTTTGACGTCTGACCCAACATCAGTAGCAATTGCTAGGCGGTTACTTCAAATAATTAATTACATGTGCAGGGATGCGTCACGAACACGATGTGTACATATTTGGCATTCAAAATCATTACACACTGAAATTGTTTTAATTCATTTACTTCATACATAAACAGGAACAATAACTTTAATTATGCATCGCTAAAATTTAAGTTTTTATTAACATGATGTATATGTTAAATAAATATTTACGTAGGCTTTAAATCATTAATAAATTAGTGCCTTAGGTATTTAGCAACAATAAAACAACATTTCTCCAGTAGGAACTTTTCCCCCTTTCCGACAGAAATCAGATTCGTATCTCGTCGTTATACATTTTCAGAAAAATCGACTTTAATTCGGTAAATGATAGCCTCAGTCTTCTATCCAACTTCCAGCACTGCATCATTACTTGATACCTTTAAAATCAACCAGGAGAAGACGATATAAAAAAATTTGTGATAATGCAGACAATAATTTCACGTAAATATTCTAACATAATACTCCTAACATGCATGTTTTGTACGGCAACACTTACACATCTTTCCCGCCAATTGTTGGCTCTTCTGGAAACAAATCGCCACATTTCAACCGATCCAAAAACTCTTTGCCATAGTTCCACTCAGAAAATGGGATTTCTCCGTAGGAAAACAGCTCCCAAAGTGTAATTCCAAACGCGTAGACGTCCGACGAAGTGGAAAAGTTCATATCCGAAAGAGCTTCTGGTGCCATCCATTTCCAAGGAATTGGACCCTATTCGAGTTTTAGAAATATTTTAAAATTCTAGAAACTTTACCAGCCATATATTACGTACATCACTCTTCTTGACGTATAAACTGCTATTGTAAACCAGTTGGCGTGACAGTCCAAAATCGGAAACCTTGATGTCTTTCGTTCCAGTTAGTAGTAGATTTCGTGCAGACAAGTCACCATGAATTATCTAAAGAGGTACAAGCCAATCAAAATGAAGAAGGTTCCAATACATAACTCAAATTTTGAACTACCCACTCTTTTCTCTCCTAAGAATTCCATCCCACTGGCAGTTTGTATTGACCATTTTAACAGATCTGAATATAAAACGGAAGTAACTTTCTCGTCTCCATTAGAAAAAGTGACGTATCTAAGCAATATCAAAGATTACCATTAGTAAGGACACCTGTGGTTTGAGAAGAATGAGCACGTTACTATGTAGATCTGATAAACATTGTAAAATTTTATAAGTACAAAAATTCGCGTTAATAAACATATGATCCAACGGCCTTTTTTTTCATAAACTATTTACGATACTAAGGATCTGAATCACGGAAATGCATATAATCTCAATCTTTAGCAACTCACTCTGACTTAAAATTGTTTCCCACAACGTTCAATTGCTCAGCTAGCTGGTCGGATTTCATCTTTTCGCGACAATTTTGCAAATACGATGAAACATTTCCTAGCTCACAAAATTCCATGACCATCCAAAGTTTTCCTATTTAGGGATAAGTTTGCAAACGTATATTATGCAAGTACAAAAAAATATGTGTAGCACTCACTGTTTTCAATATTCGATGTAACCGCTCCCACCAAGTTTACGATGTTTGGATGAACTCCGAGATTTGTCATTACCCTCAATTCGGACAGGAGAACTTTAAAATAAGACACGTCCACCGTGTTGACTACGGTTTTTATGGCTACGACGGTAGGACCGTCTGGCTTTGTTAGAATCCCTTTATACACTATGCCAAAAGCTCCTTTGCCCAAAATATGTCGTTCGTCCAAGAACAGGTTTTCCATACTGATTTCTAAGCGTTTATTGTATTTCTTGCCTAAGTGTGAAATAAATGAAGGCACACTCATGTGTTACAGTATCAGCTAGATAAATAGGTAGGTAGCTTTTGCTCGGTCTACATATGTCGTGTTAAGCTTAGCGTCACCAAAATAAGGAAGTTGTGGGTAGGTGGTTTAAAAATCTGTGTTTCTAGAGATATATATGTATCTTTCCGAAATGGGGCATTAGAAAGCTTTCGCAAGAGTGATTATTGTGATTGTGATTGTAATTTTACTTCTAAGTGGATTACTTATGACGCGTGTATTCAGAATCAAAATTACAGTCAAAATGACGAGAAATTTCTCTAGCACAACCTATTCAATAGATGGGCTAAGCAGTAGTAATTTTTGGATTGTAGTTTAGATTGTACATAGATGAATTACCTACATAAATATGTAGATAATTATTTTAAATACAAATTACTACCACAATTAGAAAACATTTCTCTCGCGCAATCTGACTAATGCTCCCAGATGAAGGAAACTTTTTAAAATAATTCAAAAAACCCTTTTCAAATACAGGAAATCTAACTGCCAATCTCGACGAATTATATATTTCTTTAAGAATTAATCTTACCTTTATCACTCCCCTCGGATGGATTACTTCCATAATAAAATTCTTCAATTTCCTCATCCGACAACTGTCTCAATGCCGGATTTAATAGTCCACTACGATTTATGTCTCTGAAGTAACTAATGGTCACCCAGAAGAAGTAAAACTTGTAAAAGATATATCCTAAAAATGCTGTCATAACGGCGGGTTGTGACCATTTCACGAAAACTGTGTAAAGCCCAAAGTTAAGGATGCAGCCAATATGCATAATTCCGGGAATCGTGATGCAGAAATAGACCCCGCGTGTATTTCGCTACATAGATTTGAAAAATTTACACTCTTTTGACTATTTGGACACTTTTGCAATATGCAATAGTATCCCGAAATAACATATACAGGGTGGTTCAAATGTCTCGCTACAATGGAAAATTTTACAATGGGAGAAGCAACTAAATCTCCATTAGTTACGGATTTGGGATTGAGATTTTGATTAATTATTATCAAAACTAATCGAACACTGATGACAAAATTCTTAAAATGTTGAATTTCGCAAGCAAAATTTCGGGAACTAATGGAAATTTACGAGTTATTTCTATAGCAAAATTGTCCACTCTAGCATGACATTGAAACCAACCTGCATGTCGTCATTTTAAAGTTTAATTTTATGGATCTAATAAATACCTGCGACGCATAAGAGAACAATCTGTGCGAAAGGGTAATACATGTAAACGCATAAAAATACGAGTATCCCCAACTAATAATCCTTGCTGTTTCAAAAAACGGAATAATTTATCGCAAAAAATATATGCGATTCCCCCCCAAAAAATTATTGATCCAAGTCACCATAAAATTTCCAAGATCCAGCCTCCATCTCGTTTTGAAATTCGGTCCGCAATATGACCAAAAATATGGCAATCGTTCCCACTATCATCAACAAAACGTCGACACCCTGAATAAAAGGTGGTTAGAAAATCGTTTAACTATTAATTTAGATCATAATGGGGGTATTCATTACAACTTCTCATGGAAACATTGCAAGAAAAAATTCGAACTTCGGTACATAAACACTAGCTTTTCAAGTTTGCAAATTAACTTCAAACCAAATTATGTGTCTTGCATGCTTCCGGACGTTGTTTTTTTGCGAAATTCGTAACGAATACCCTTAATATCTATTTACCGCTTCCACGACAGATAACGCCTTCACCCCACCCTGCAAAAATAATCCCATGCAGGGCTTACTAATGGTCATAGATTCGTTCTTAATTCTTGCCATGGCGAGAATATACTGAAAATATGCAAGGCTTAGAACGTAAAATTGATTGAATTTAAGTGGAATTACGTCCTTATCACCAAATTGATAAGCAGTTAAATAAGTGATACGATAGTTCCGAACTATGCGTATGCAGATCTTGATCGTGCAAACGTTTCTTTAAAAGTAATTATTTTATCGTGTTATATTAACAAATCAGGATCATGTTTACATATTTGTCAGATAAGCACTATTTTCGTTGAAACTTTGCTAAAGATAAGCGACCCAATTCCGATATCTATTTAATTGAATTGACACTACGACAACGCACGGTGTGGCTTACAGGTCAGTCATATAATTCGCAATAAAACCAGAGTACTTAGAACGGAACCTTTGCACCGGTATTGCATAGCGAGTTATATCAAAAAATCAAGCCACAAATTATTCATCACGTGGCACTGGTGTGTTCGTTGTCTCTGAAGAAAACTATTGGGGGCAAAGTTCAAAGTCCGCCCTGGTTTTCGTCCTAGATCCCAATTGTTTCCCTATTTTTTGATAAGTCGCTAGACAATCCCAGCGTATGTTTGTAGGTTGAAAGAAGGTTCCATTGTTAGGAATAAAATAGCGGGCACACGTGGATTCGAGCTCAGTTTGATAATGTGTAAATAATGTTTCGTTTGGGCGTTCAAAACCATTTTTGCGCTGGACACCGTCCAATTGTGGTCAAAGCGGTGGAAAATAATTTATTTCGTTCATAATGTCATAGATTATAAAATGGGCACCATGCTACAGGAATTTTATTAAGTTTGGAAAAATTATATATTTATGATGTGTGCCCAATTAAATAAGAAGTTCGTGTACAACAGTGAGGGTATTCATGGTTGACTAACAATGGAGGTCTCCCAACGTATGCTCACAGATTTGGACCAAACTAGCGTCAATGGATCACAAATTTAAGTAGTATGAAATTTGCAAATGGCACTATCTGCCAATGCTCAGGTTTGGCGGAGATATTTGCATTCAAAACAGAAAAATGCGCAGGAAATTTGGAAAGTGAAAAATATGCCAGCCTTTTGGTGCGTTTTCTCCTCTTTTTATGCAAATATCTCCGCCAAACCTGCGCAGATAGTTACCATTGGCAGATAGTTCCATTTGCAAATTTCATACTAATTACATTTGTGATCGATTGACGCTAGTTTGATCCAAATCTGTGAGCATACGTTGGGAGACCTCCATTGTTAGTGTCGGAAAATATTCGTTTACGTGGCAAAAGAAGGACCAATTTCCGTAATCAAATCTTTAGTACAAAATTTCACTATGACGCTTACCAAATATCGTAGCCGTCGTACATGCATACATGCATGCATGCATGCATTTGATTGTCAACGTTGCATAGATTACTAAAGTATTCGGTTCAATAATCAGAAATCTAAAGATCGGAATTGATAAGAAAACCTTATCCAATCGAATATGTATATTGCTTACATGCCATAGCTCGCTATTTATTTTTAACCATGACATTTCGTGTTCAAAGTCTGTGTTCCTGGAGAACAAACGTCAACCCACTTTAACATTTATGCTAATGAAATTCACCAACTTTTGCGTGCATTGGAGGCTACTCATTTATTTCCAACCCTAAAAGCTTGAAAAAGAATTTACCAATTTGACGCTATCCAGAAAAAGGTATACTCTCTCTTAACAAGTTACTTTCTCCCTAGCTATACAAAAAATTAAGGAGGTCGAATAAGCGTTGTAAATTCAAAAATGTTTATAGTGCCCTAAATTACAACGAGTTACTAACCAAATGTGACCTTTTGACGGTGCAGGAGAGGCGAGATATGTATGTATTTAAGTATGCTTTCTGCAACCTCAAGCATCTGCAAAGCTCAACTTCAGGTCAGCGTTCTTGGCCACTTCTTGTAGTGCCCAGGGTTCGCACGACATTGGCTCTTAATAATATTGCCTATAGAGCTACGAAATTATGGAATACGCTGCCACGATCATGGGATTTTAATGTATCTTACACCCAATTTGTTATTTTATGTCGCGACTTTATAATTAATCAAAGGACAAATGAATGATATATATATGATTTTCATGAATTATTTAGTTGCCCTACTTAATTAATTAGATTAGTTTTAGATGCTTATAAAAAATATATGCTACTTGTGTCATGGTGTGTAAACCAATTTGTAATGAATTGATCTCTGTTGACACGTGAATAAAGGATTAACAACAACAACAACAACAACAAACAATGTGTCAGTAAATATCCTATTTTCTTGTTTTATTTTGATAAATATGCATATGTACATAGATACATATGTACATACATTTGAATGCGTGTTTTCTCTGTACATACATATATTGGGGACGTCCATATATTTCGTCATCACTTTAGTTAGTGGGTGGTTTAGGTCTTCATTCACATATTAAAATTCCCTACCGCTTCATGTTTACGTTGGGTGGGTGGGTGGTAAAATCGAAAATTCTTAATGACGTAAGACATAAATGACCCCAAACAGAGTTGGGTATTGGCAGCAACGTAAATAAGGTTCTTTAAGTAAACAGACCTCAACGTCCACGTCGATCTAATCCCATGAAAATGAACTCAAGAGGATTTACAAAGTTTAAGAAAAATAGAGTAGCTTATCTGATAACGGTAGTAAACAATTATCATGATAATTCTTCTCACCTCCACATTGAAAAACATTGCAACTGTGAGGATTACTAAATTCGGACGAGATGACAATTTTCGTTGCAGACAGTTTTTAAGCTTTTATAATTAACAGAATGGATTCCAGTGCACTGGAATATCCTCATTTATACACTGTAAAAAAAGTTGAGTAAAATTGCCATCAATACATACAACTGTTGGATAAAATTCGCGCGAGATTGCACGACTAATAAGTAAAAGTTGACAAATGTTAGTAACGTTAATCCAACTTGTTGCTTTGGTGGCAATTTTGTTCAACCTTGAGTAAATTTCGGTGAATTTTTTAGTGTGTACTATGTACATATTCCATAAATTTACCAGGCCACTAGTAATAGTTGTACGTACCCGCTACGATTCTCTATATACGCCACTGCATCACATTCTAAAATCGTGGAGAAAGACAAATCGACCTATTGAATAATAACACGCAAGGGATAGTCAAGAATATAATGGTAATGAAATAAACCGTCGCAAACGCGCATACGGAAGTAGCTTCAGACGTACTTCACCCCAAACGGTCCCACCACAACTCGGGAACACTTAATTTCACTCTATTTCACCTATAGATTAATTTTTTGTAAAAATCTCATTTTGCCCCAACCACACCCCTGGCGCCTAGGGGGTGTGGCACAACTCCGGAACACATAATTTTACTCTATTTCACCTATAGATTAAATTGCACTAAAAATCTCATTTTGCCCCAACCACACCCGCTGGCGCCGAAGGGGTGCGGCAAAATCGGGGAAACACTCAATTTCACTTAATTTCACTTAATTTCATTTAATTTCACTCAATTTCACTTAATTTTACCCATAGAATAAATTGCACTAAAAATCTCATTTTGCCCCAACCACACCCCCTGGGGCCGAGGGGGTGTGGCACAATCGGGGAAGCACTTAATTTCACTTAATTTCATTTAATTTCACTCAATTTCACCTAATTTTACCCATAGATTAAATTGCACTAAAAATCTCATTTTGCCCCAACCACACCCCCTGGCGCCGAGGGGGTGTGGCACAACTCCGGAACACATAATTTTACTCTATTTCACCTATAGATTAAATTGCACTAAAAATCTCATTTTGCCCCGACCACACCCCATGTCGCCAAAGGGGGTGTGGTCCGGTTGCCCCCAAAAGTTGATAGGATCCTCCCCCTGGGGTCCTATGTATGATGGCGAAAACCGATTTCGATTATCTCGATCCGTTCTCCTGATATCCTGCTGACAGACAGACGGACAGACAGACAGACAGACAGACAGACAGACAGACAAAGTCTTCACATAAAGTAGCTGAAGCTACTTAATAAACCACCGTGAACGAATATAAAGAAGTAGCTTCAGTCTTACTTCATCCCAAGCACTCCCATGAAGTCACAGGAACACTCAATTTCAATTTATTTCGTCTGTAGATTAAATTTCTGTCAAAATCTCATTTTATCCGTACGACACCCCCTTGTCCACCCGGTGAGGGTGGACCAATTGATCCCAAACGTTGACAGGATCCACCCCCTGATGTACCTATGATGCCTTAAAGCGATTTCGATTATCTTGATCCGCTCTGCCGCTCAGACGGATAAACAAACAAAGTCTTCGCATAAAGCAGCTGAAGCTTCATAATAAATGTAATGGAGACACGAAACAATAAATTTAGCCCTCCTATGTATGATACCTAACAAGTTTCTAAATATGTAGTTGCTTACTTTAAGTAGAAGTCTGTTATACTCTGCATATAAATATTCCGTTATTGTTTCTCTTAAGAACTGGAACTTTATCCCGTCGTGTTAATTTTAACCATTTTATCCCTTGGAATGGTCAGTAGTGTAAGGATGGATAGTAATTCTGACGCCATCGGGTTAGCCACACACACCAGCGCAGCCTACCGGTGACTACTCGGTCAATTTTAATCTAACAATGGGGTCAAATTTGCATTAAGTTAAGTGCCGAAAAGCTAGCTTCAGTTGAAATCTCTCCATGTTCGAAAATTTATTCCAATTCGCTTCCTTGCTTTTTGTCAGAGCAAATGTACCTAAACAATCTTCGTGGAACGGGTAGCACCCACCCCTGCGTCCCGCATTAAAATGTATTTTTTTAATTTCAATCTAACGAGCATTACTACTGTGCTTGCAATGTTAAGAGACTATTTACATATATAGTGCGTAAGAGCAAATATGTCATATTTGTTTTGTTAAGCACCCTACATAAGTAAATTATTAAAACCTTCGGATAAATCTTCGGAAATGTAAAGATCGGAATTATCAATAATTCCAAATGTATCATTGACGCAGACTTTTTCCAATCGAATATGTGCATAGGTATATTGCCTACGTGCCATGACCAACTAGGTATGTATTTATTTTTAAATGTGGCATTTTATGCATGTTAAAAATTTACTTATATGTATAGTTGGCTGGAAAACAAGTATCAGCCCACTTTCAACCTTTATGCTAATGAAGTATTAAAGGCTATTTATTTATTTATTTGCAAAGACTTAAACGCTGAAAAATTGGACAAAAAACCAATTAAATATTTACAAGTGAGGCAATATACATACATATGCTTTCTTTTACATAGATGAAGTGGATACAAAATAATAAATTTGTCTGTATGCTGATCCATATCTCACCGACGAGTATATATGAAGTACGAAGTTTCCAGCAAGATTTGTCGAAATTTGGGGCATTCTCTAAAAAATCTAATTATTCCCTCTGGTTTAAAAACTAAGATGCCGAAGCTTTATGTGTTAATTCTAATTATCCTGGCCCAAAGAATGGTCAGTAGTGCAAAGAAAGATAACAATTACAGCGTTGGCATCCCAATTAATTTTCTTCAAGGCGTGGAAAACTGCGACATCCAAATTTTGTATGATGTAATCCACTCAAACTACTTTGCCTTCCTTTACGATTCTTTATTACCTAGGACTATCTTATTCACAAAAATTTATAAAATACAAAACGTTTCCAGAATTGAAAATTCTATCTTAAATATTTTCAAAAGCCGCCCTTCGTATTACAAAATTAGCATTTGGATTTCAAAGAGATTAAGTCATACAGAAGAGAAGCATGGATTCGACGGGTCAGCGAAATTTACAGGGTGGCTGGAAGTTTGTACCAGCTTCCATTACGGGTTCCGATGCGATACATGCGAACATAACAAAATGTATGGATACAATTGGAATTTTTTAGGTTCAACAAAAAATGTTTATCCGATTGTCCCCACGAACATGAAGTTGGTCGAGGTATTGACGACTTTGGGTATATACGATAACCGGCCTGAAAATTTCATGGTTGCCATAATCTCTGAAGGAAAGCGTGAAGCTTTTGCGAAGCTGTGCATAAAACGCAACGGACTCGAAATTAAAAAGGCAGGGAACTATAAATGCTTCAATAAAAATAAAGACAATATTTCATTTCACTTACACATTTCATTTACATTCATTTACACATGCAAATGAACTTAAGATATTTTTCTCACTATTTTTTCTACTACCTGAATTCTATTATTATTCCCAGGAATAATAAACAAGGTCCCTAAAAAGGGGAAATTTTAGTGAGGGAGTGCAATCACAACTAATAAATAAAATTAGATTTGAGAATTTTTGCATCACCGCTCTCGGTACCATTTTTACTGGATGCAGTATAAATTTTTCTTTGCATACGCATGAATTCTTAGTTTTATTGAATAAATTGAGGAAGGAATACATTTTTACTGTGTAGTGAACGAGAAGTGGGTTAAATTAACTGAGGTAGATATGTAAGATATGATGGCTAAATAATTATGAGCTACGTATTTGTTTAAAAAAATATACAAATTTCAATTTGATATATTAATTTGGCTACTCTATGCAAAATCATCGAACCTTTTGAGGGAGCAAGTGTTCTATTTAAACGATTAATGCTTCCAGTAATAAAAATGGTACCGAGAGCGGTGATGCAAAAATTCTCCAATCTAATTTTATTTATTAGTTGTGATTGCACTCCCTCACTAAGATTTCCCCTTTTTAGGGACCTTGTTTATTTATAACTTTTAATTGGGGAATTAGATTGTCCATTGGATGACTGCATTGCACTACCCCTTTTCAGTAGTTTGATCCGGAATAATTTTATTAAATTCTGGGTGTTTAAAATTGAATAAATCCGTTATTTCTTAACCGATTTATATCATTTTGGTCAAAATGTCCGGCCTAGATTACTAAACACCAAAAGACCTGATCTGGAGGTGCAAAACCAACAACAATTTCACGCAGTTTACCAAGCATGTTACAGAAACAATTAGTTATGCTGTTTACAGTTTTGAATGTAATTTGTTTTCAATTTATTAGTCTTGCGTCGTTGTCAATGGCAATGATTCGTAGCACGAGCAGGAATTTCTGAACTTCAAATTGGAATAACTAAGCCAATTCTTAACGGATTTTGATATATTTATACTTAAAATTTTCGGGATAAACTGCCCTACAATTCGTGAGTATCAAACTTTTGATAAAGTTTGCTAGTAACTAGCAATAATTACAAATGTGTTTCTAAGGCTACATTTTTGCCCATAATTCCGGTCAAGATCACGTAATCCCTTAGTCGGATCAGATCCCGTTTCTATATTATGTAACAATAATCGGTGCAAAATTTCATCAAAATCGGTTGAAAAATGACTGAGATATCGCAGATGGTCACTTTTTTGGGGTGGGTCAAATGCATACTTAGTAATTTTTTCGTTGTTAGGTATTTCCCTCACTAAGAATAATGCTTATGTGGAGACGCGATTGCTCTATCTTCCACTCTCTTGACTACATAAGTGGGGATATTTATTTAATTACATAATTAAGAAAATAATTGCTTAGAAATTTTGTGAAATGCTAGTGTGTTGACCCTGTACTAGTAAACTATTGTTAGTGACATTTGCAACTGCAAAAAAATTGTCGAACTTTTTACACGAAACTTAGATTTTGGTGAGTAATTTATCACTTGAAGAACAGTGAATAAATTGAATATTCTTATATGAATCTTTGTAATTGTAACAGAAAGTTTTTATTATAATTGTTATATTGCGAAAACGAATTACAAACTATATATATATACATTTCTAATTAGTCTAATTAGTTTCGGTAATTTATACTAATCCTACCCTTACATCTTGTCTTTCGATCTTGTCGTGAATTTATAATTAATAAGCGTTCTGACGACTATTATTATTATCTATGAAGTAAGAGTTAGAAAAAAATGTAGTTAGGTATTTATTATGCTTCTTATATAGTTATAGCATTTTGTGTCATGGTTTGCAAACCAGTTATTGTTAACTGATATCCATTTACACGTGAATAAAAGTTGAAATGAAATGAAATCGACTTTGTGTTAATTTTCGTAAATTTGTGTCAGGTCGCCAGAAAGCAATCAAAGGGGCGAATTAAATAAACACCCTTTAATTCAGAATTATCCATTTTGTTCTTAATGTGTTTCAAATTAGTCGGTATTGTAGCAACGATTACGACCATTCCTGGACAATCATTGCGGACAATCTGTCTTTTTCGAATACACCATGGAGGCGTTTTCCAATAATTAAAGTTTCCTAAAATGTGTACAATTTACACCTATGTAAAGACCGGGCTCGATACACTCGCTGAGAGAAGGTGGAGTTTGGATAACATCGAAACATGACACATAACAGAAAAACATACTTAACTATTTATGTCTATTATAGCAGTTATGTATGTGGACACATGGCACACTGAACAAACCCCTGCGAAAAATCGTCCCTGTGCACGCATATGTAGCATCACTAAATGGTAATAATGTTGGTCACAGGATGGTGTTAAATTGTCAAAGCGCGGTGATAAATTGTATGACCGCAAGATGATAAGTAAGTAAAGGAAATGATGGAAGAAATCTGAAAAAACGGATGGTCAGGCAGCCTGCCTGACCATCCGTTTTTTCTGGAAATCTGGAAATCAACGCCTGCCTGAGGCAGGCGTTGATTTCTCGGTATTATAGCTGATACCGCTGGATACTAAGGATAAGATCATACCGGCCAGTAAAAATTTGCTACCGATACATATGTCAGAAGTTTACTACCGAGCTATTATCAAAGGGTAATACTTATCAACACCATTGTAGCAGAGTAATATGCTAGAGTTCTTATGTACATTAATATGTACGAAATTGAGCGACCAAAATTAAATGGATTGACGTTCAAGGAACAATAAACTAGGAGCACTTACCGTACGACTTTTCAATATAATCTCCTGAGAGGTGGTCAGCCTGGATACTTTTGAAAGCTTAGAATTATGATGGAATCGTCGAAGATATACAATGGTTTTCACATATTTATTGATGTACATATACATATACATAAACCATAAGTTTTTGTATTCATGTATATGATTAAACAAACAAATTTTATAATTCGTATTTTTACAAATCTATTAAAATTTATAAAAAACAATTTTGTCGTCAAATTACCTAGCCTAGCAAAGTTTCAAAAGTAATGGGTAAATTGTCTTAATCTTAGGTGATTTTATTTGTAAATATAATATTACTAAATTTCACCCACGATATCCTCGTCCTAAAAAATTTACAATATATTTGAATAATAAATTTGTAACTTATGCAAATACCTTAAAAATTTTTATATTAAATTAAGACATACCCCGTCCTAAGCTGGAAACACCGTAACCTTCATGACAGAAAAAGGTGACAATTACAGTATTTATTAAATGTAGGATCCGATTTTATGAGTCGAGGCATTAAAATTAAAGACATTTTTACATGCATTTCTTATGTAAAAATGTCTTTAATTATAATTCCTTTTTCATAAATTAATGTGTAAGATTGTGGGGATTGGGGATTCCACCCGACGATCCCACCACTCGGCACACGGAAGCCAACGTGGCCGAGTTCGACTGTAAAAAGGAAGAACCTCTCTCCAGTCCAGACAGACCGGCCCGAGTGTTCCCAGCGTGAACACCTCCACTCTTCTCTCCACATTTTTCCCTGCACCACGCCGTCTGCGTGGCTGCCATCTTTAAAATAAATTCTCCTACCTAAATTAAGTTCCTAAAATTCATTTTGTAAGAGTAATAATTGCTAATGTGAGTAGTAAAGATTCTGAAACTCTTGTCAAGTGAAAATTACGAAGTATACCGCTATTGAACAGTTTATTCGGGTCATTGTTCATAAAAAATCGTACATTGAGTCGTGCTAGGTGCAGTTTAGTATAGAAACGGTGCATAAGTGGAAATCGGAGTAAAAAACAAGACAGTATTTCTAATTGCCAAGCGAGAGACAATTCATCCTCCTCCCCGTGCGTCGTAGCTCCCATCCGGCTACCCCCCTGTGGCCAGTGAAGGTGTCCCGTGATCAGAAGCGTGTCGCATCCGTCCCCCAAGGACCCTGACGTCCGGTACTCGATGAGACTCGCCCATATTCCCCTACCGAGCCCACGGCATCATCCTCTCCGCCCACAAGATGCGAATATGCGTGGTTAACAATGCGATAGATTAACATACATATGTATTAAGTTGGTAATAACTTGCTACCGGATAGGTAGTAGTTTGTTGCTGAGTGGTAAATTTTTCATTACCACAACACTACATTCAAAACTGTACTGTTCTTTATTACCGTGTCGGTATACATGTAGTCATGTAGTATGTACTAGAGCCAGCAACAATTTAATACCAGGTTTGCAAGAGTGTAGGAATTCGCCTTTATACCGCAACATTACTAAACGGTAATTCCCGTTATTACCATGCTTGTAAGTAGTGCATGTATTTAGGACACATAGGAACCACAAACTTACATATGTATGTACATACATATACCAATCCGTAGTAATTTAATAAAAGTTTTCTAAGAGTGTATAAATACTGTAAAATTTGTGATTTTACCTCTATTCCCACGCTCCCTCCGTCCCCAAGTATTCCGCCACTGGTTCCCCGATTACCTTAAAACGTTAATAATTCATTACATTTATTTCGTACTATTAGTCTTTTACATACAATTTGATAAAACTGATAAAATGTGGTTGAACTCTTCGTTTTCACATAAGAAGTAGAATATTTCAACTGGTTTCTGTTTTATCGATGAAAAAGACGAGAAGCCAAATTTTCAACCTGACCAGAATTATACTACATACGAAATTAAATTACAAACTTAGTAAAAAAAGAGTAAAAATGTAGGGAAATGACTTTCTGTGATTTCTAGTTACATACATATTTACTTGTTTAAACTGATATCTATGCCATTGAATTAAAAGATGACTTGATTTGATTAATAAAATTTCAACTTACGCGGTGCACGCTTTTCCCTGCGTAGAACGAGGTCTTGGTCATATCCGGTAATGAAATCTTCACTACCCGTCATACCTCCACCCTGAAGAAGAAGAAGTTGAGAGTCCTCCTCGTCTTTTTTGAAGGTTTCCCTCTCCAACGAAGCAACAGATAGCGATACCACCCCCAAAATTAAAAACGTCGTCAAATTTATTTTATTCATTTTCCTCCGTTTAGACGAAAATATGAAAAACAAGACTGGTACAAATATTTAGAAATGAAATTAATGTGTGCAATTTTGTGAAAAGATGCAGCTATTTATATGAATGGATTGATGTCTGCAGTGCGAAATGTCGTTAAAGGAACCTGCATATATTACGTGGTCAAGAAAAATGCAGATTTTTGAGCATCCACCTAATTCCTATCCTACTCAGATTAAAAGTATTTTAAATAGTCGATCCGAAACCATCCACCCATATGATTTTGATGACGTTATGCATGGATGTATAATTTTCAGAGCACGTGGCGTTACCGGGTAATCGTGACGGTGATTTTCTGCACACTCTAAATAAAAGTTGTGTAAAGTTTCTTCAAGGTTTAGCCAAATAGAGGATGACACGACAACTTAGACAGCGTATTGTATATACATTATCCAATTGTGGGGTCATATTTTTCTTAAATGGAGCGATAGTTACTGCAGAAAAAAATCATCTAAGTTAGGAGTCACAACAGTTTTGAAAAGCTTAATTTTTTTAGTGTGCGTACTTGGCTGCACGACTTTTTACTCGTGAAGAATTAATGAACACTGGAATACCTGGAATTTAGTAACCATGCAGTATTCCATTCAATTGAAGTTCTTACTACGAATTGTGAACCGGTTTGTTTGTACGTATCTACAGATTTACATAAACAAACTTCTACACAATATGTAAATCGTGAAGAAGTGACGGCCTGTCCAGAATTTAAATGAAGCTATCATCTCATTAAACTTATATATGTATTACCAGCGGGTGTACAAACCAAATTACGACTAAAAGTTGAAATCATTACGGAAAACTGTGAAACATTTGTTGTCTCAATTTGTTAGCTAAAATTGTACTCAGAGTTATGAAAGGTGTGGATTTAATTCGTTCCGATTTCTCTTGACAGTATTGGCAAAGTAGTAACTTTAAAAGTGTGAAAACTTTGTTTATCAGAGATACATTGCTAATTAGTCTTTCGGCAATTTATAGTAATCATGCCCTTAATTCTGGTCATTTGAGTTTGTGCTAATTTTCGGCAGGTTGCCAAAAAATCGGGACGAATTAAATAAAGACCCTTTAATTCAGCATAATGCATTCTTTTCACAATTTGCTTCTATTTAGTCGGTATTACAGTAATGATTATGACCATTTCCTGCCCATGTTGGACGGACAATCTGGCGTTTTTGAGTAGACCATGGAGACGTTTTCCAATAATTTATGTTTCCTAAAATGTGTACAATTTAGAACTATGTCAATACTATCCTCAATACGCGCGCTGGGAGAAAGTGGAGTTTGGACTACATCGAAATATGACACATAACAGGAATACATACTTAACTATTTATGTCTATTAGCAGTTATGTTACACATGGCACTCTTAAAAAATCCGGTTCATACACATGTGTGTAAGATCATCTAACGGTAATAATGTGTGTCACCGCATGGTGTTAAATTTTCAAAATGCGGTGATAAATTGTGTGGTCGCATGATGATATAAGCCAATGCAATGCAGGTACACTTTGAAATCTGGAAAAATACCAATGGTCAGACATGCGTTGATTTCTTGGGACATATTATACATAGCTGCTACCGATGGATACGAAGAACCGGTCATTAAAAATTTGCCACGGACACAAATGGCAGAAGTTTATTACCTAGCTATTTATCACCACAGGTTATTACTTATCAACACCACTTTGGTAGAGTCATCAATATGTATGTAAATGAATACTACCTAATACTGTTTCAATAATATGTAGATTCCTAAGAGTGCACTCTTTTTGCCCTTCATGAAGAGAACAAATAATTCGTAAACAGTATTACGCATTCCAAAGAAAAGATCCTTTTCAGATTACGGATTATTTAATTGTGGTAACCCCTCCTATTCGAACGACTGAAAACAAAAACAAATGTCTGGATAAGTACATAATTGCTACATTAATATCTTGGATGTCCTTTAGGCAACTCGGGCTTAAATTGAGGTTATCAGCTTTTCCGTTTCCACTAAACTATTATTTACATACCCCTTTTAGCAGGACATATATTTTAATTGGTATGAAATAAGACGTACAAATCGAGCGGATATGTATCATTTCTATGTTCATAATATTAAGCTTGTGCCTGTCCCTTCCACGTGGGACGAGTACATAATGACCGACGAGTAATTAACTGACAGATTGTACCATGAACATTGGCATTAATTGGACCCATTTCCTTTCTTTAGAATGGATAGAAATCTTTACAACTTCTTTGAAAATGTTAATTCGTTCTGCTTCTGGGTCCTTGTGCACTCTTAAAAATAATGTTATACTTTTGAGAAGTAATTATAAGTATGTACATTCTGAATGCTAAATATTGTTAAGAAAACTACATTAACACTAAATCCAGAGTAGCGTAAACTTGATAAATGGTATCATTTATGAATATAAATTTGGTATAATTTTCTTAATATGTATACATTTCTGAGCGTATTTAACTAGGTATTTACTTTGCAAGAGGTAACATTATTTTTAAGAGTGCATAATCACTCGGGTTAATTTTGAATATAAGTAGCTGTAAGTCGTATCAAATTTCTAGGTTCCTATTCGAACATTTGAGAGACGCAGTTTGCCTACAAACCAATTACCAATTTTATTATATCCAGTTTTTCAAAAATTTCATTCAAAAATGTACACGACGCAATTTTACACTTTGATGGTACGTCATCTCGGTCTTTGTCGTCTCCTTAAATGCGTTCCGGCCAAGTATGACGCAAATTTGAAGAAAATTGTGCCCATCGATAACCCCCGAGATATCAAAATCTTTCGAATTCAATGCATCATTTCGCTAGTGTACACGACTGCAATGTTTCTGAATTTGTGCGTTGGACCGCTCACGATTCCGAAAAAGTTTCAAGGCGTGAGTTTCTTCGGAATTTATTTCCTTTTGTTATTCTGCAAGTGGAATTATCACCTGGACATCGCACCGATTCAGGTGCTCAATTCGTTCGTCCAGTTTGAGAAAGGGCTTGTAAAAGGTGGGTAACATACATATAGCTGATTAAAAAATATTTACTCAGGTTAAGAATTTGACAAAAATTATTCATACGTTATGCATTTATTCAAAGTTTTAAAACAAATCAGTCATCATTTTTTATACATTTAATATCAAATTTTCCTTATTAATATTTAGTATGAAAAATGAGTCATGAATAAAATTTTGTAATCATTCTTAATGAATACGAAATGAAGAAATATTTATGCAAAATTCATTCATTCAAAACTTGTGACAAAAATTATTCATGCAGTACATATTCATTAGTTTATTGAATAATGAATGACGCATGAATTCAGTATCTATTGAGTAAATAAGTTTGAACAGGTTAGCCAATAGCTGCTCCTGGGGCTTATTAATATGGACATTTTTAAAGTTTCTTAAAATTTTTTGTCAGGTCATGAAACTTTCAAAGTTTCCACACAATCTCAACTCATGGTGTACTTCATGGAAATCCTTCACTATTCGGTTATGGCCTTTGCGGCTGGCGTGTTCTGCCTCCTCCTCTTGGATCCATGTTTCCCGCCCTTCCTTCTATCCATGTCGAGGCAGTGTGAGATCATCAGATGGACGAACTTTGGCCCAGAAATTCTCATCCTCGTGTTCGAAACATGGATGGCGGCGCAAGCCATGTACTCTGGGTCGATGTGGGCCTTCTACATCCTATTCGTGGGGATCTCTTGTATTCTAAATTATCTCCAAATTCTGAACAGGTAATGAAATAGGCAGGTTGAAAAACTGTGGTTGTACATATGTAAACTAGTTTCACAAGTCAATACTGATTTGGTCATATTTTTCCCGTCAAATTTTTAAATGTGTGGAAATCCTTCGTCTGATAATCTTTGGAAATTTCTAAGGATTTTCTATAAATTACAACACAGAGGATTTCGACAAATTGTGCATATTTCCTCAAATTCTACAAAATTATGTTTACAAATACTACGTTTGTTCTACATGCAAATTTTATAAAAATTTTACCAATTATTTTTTTTGGAAATTTAGTAAATTTCCTACAAATTCAACGTACTAATCGTCAAAAGATTTTGTAAAAAATGTTACCGATATCTTTTTCTTAGTTCTGCATTTTTTTCTACAAATTTAACCTATTTTCCGCACGTTTCCTAAAAATTGTACCTATGTATTTACTTAAAAAAACTTTGGAAGGGACCTCATTCTCTAAAAATTATGTGCTAATTCATTTTTCTCCATCTTCCCCTAGTATTAACCGAGCAAAACAAGTATTGCTAGGTAATTATGTTTAATATATGTCTTTTACTAGTAAAATGACCCACGCAAAAAACCTGGTGGAGCATAAACTGTGCATCCGAACGTATCGACAGGTGCACATTTTGGAGAAAATGTTCAACGGATTCCTTATGGCGAGAATCTCCCCCGTTGTGGTCACAGTCATACCGGCGATTCAAATTATCGCGCAATACGTGTCCGTAACGATGCATGACCAAATCGCGATGCCGGGCTTTCTCATATTTCCCCTCTTCATGGTGGACGGATTTACGAATGATGTGCTCGTCTTCACTCTCGCTTCGTGGATCAATTCCAGGTCCAAGGAGCTTTTGGAGAAGTATGGGGGGAATATGAGACACATGGCGGGAGGGAAGGGGAGGACATATCTGAGGAAAGAAATGAGGTCATTGAACTGTCTTAAATTAAAGTTTGGGTCAAATTTTATCGATCGTGGGACTCCTCTGATCATTCAAAATTTCTGTTTGGCACAAACCATGCAATTAATTATGATAAGGTCATCGCGATAAGAGCAAGTTGGAATAAAATACATAATTAGAATAATTATTTAATCCAATTTTTAATTTTAAGTAATTTCTAATCTAATCTAAGTTTAACATTGACTAATTTCATTTAATTACCAATAAAAAATTGAATTAAAAAATTAAAATTATTAAAATGTATTAAAGACTTACGTCTTCATTCAAAATTCATTGATTTGCTAAACAAAAAATTCATTCATTATTCATTTAGTGTGAACATGAAAAGTAACATTTATTCGTTATTAATTTTTCTTAATCGTTTGATCGCACATTCGCCTTTTTACAAAAATATAAGAGTTTCTAAGCATAACCTATACATGTATTATGCATAATGTGAAAATTAACTAATGAATAAACTTTTTCTTCAATTATGCATGCAAAGGAATAAATATTTATTGAACAGTCTATAAATTTAGCTTATTCATACAAATTTAAACAGTTGTACATAAATTTATGCATATTTGTATAAATAAATTGCATCACAATTTTAGCATGCAAATTTGCCGATTACAGACTAATTAAACTCCAATCTAGGGAATTAAGTATCTAACAATCCCATACCTGTTTATTTTCATTCATGTGATTGATTATGTATGATAGGGCATGAAAATAAATTTCCTGTGATTTTAATGAAAATGAGTGAAAGATTCGAAATAAATGAAATGAATGAAATGAAATGAATTTGATAGAAAATAACTGAATGTGAACGATGTAACTGATTTTTTAATGAAAAAATTATTTTAAACAGGTATGTATGACCATTTTATAATTATTTCATACAAATTATTACATTATTCTTAATGTATTCTTTTGCCTATATTTCTTGCTAAATTTAAGTGAGGATTATGAACGTTAGGAAAAAGTTTGGCTAACTTGATAGTCAATTGGATTGGATGGATAGGTAATATCCAATTTGACAATTTTTGAAATTGGCGTGTCACAATTCGGAAATATTATATTGTATAATTCAACGCCGTAGGCATTCTCATACGGTTCTGCGTATAACCTCGAGAACATGCTGTATTCGAAGTGGCGAAGCTGAGGGAGGTAGACGTGCAAATTTTTGGGTGCCTGAAAAAGAAAGGTGAAATGAATTTATGATTTACGTCCCAAAATTACTTTAAATTGCAAAAGTTCGATGTACAATAGAATCCTCCTTGAAGCTACACCTGGATTTTGTAGGAGCGAGTTATATCAAAAAATCAAGTAAAAAATTAGCAACCGAGTTCTCACGTTCGTCTTGATTGGGAGAAAAATACTCAAAATTGAGCTTTCCCGCCCAAAGTTTTCTTAAAAACGGAAACACATGTAAGTGCCACGTGGATCCAGATCTTTGGCTGGATTTTTTTATATAACTCGCTCCTACAAAATCCCGTTGTAGTTTGAAAAAAGGTCCCTTGTCAGTTTATACCTTAAACAAGTCTCCAATTTCGAATAAGTTGATTGTTATCTTAAATTTTCCCAGATGCTCAAATTCCTTTCTACGGTACTCCTTTTCTTCATGGGCTGTCACAAAAATTGTTACTTAATATGCCAAAAATTCATAAAATTTCTTTAATCTCTTACTTGTCACTTGGTCTCGAACCGAAAGCATCTTCAGTCTCGGAAGTGGTGGGAGTTTAAAATCTGGACCGTACGCGATGAGCCACACGATCTCCAATGTTTCTTTAAACTTGTCTAAAATTAGTAGCTCAACATCGCCCACGACACGTAGCGACACTTTTTTGAGCTTTATATTTAATCTCAGATTAGTCCGGTTTTTCTCTTCCGTGATTTTACATTGATTCACAGGAAATCCTGGGCATCCAAGTTGGTCCAAATTGGATAAAGCTTTTCCGCTAGGATCACTCGTAGCGAGGCTTAAGGTGAGCTTCGATGAGTTATTCCCGCGCATCTTATTCCGCCCCATGTGTCATGTTTCCTTAGGAAGAACTCGAAATTAACTTTCCGGCATTAATAATCAATGAAATTTAAATATTATTACTTAAAAATATTCTATATTTTTGACTTGACAAAAATGTAGGTTAAATTTGGAAAAAAATTCCCTTCCTGTGAGGGGCAGTAACCTACTTAGGAAGGAATATGTTTTCCAAAAATCTAATCTACAATTTTTTTAAGTTAAAAATATAGAATATTTTAAAGTAATAATATTTAAATTTCATTGAATGCTAACGCAGAAAGTCAATTTCAAGTTCTCTGTAAGGAAACATGACACATGGGGCGGAATAAGACGCATGGGAATGACTCATCGAAACTTACCTTAATCCCTCCATAAAGTCTTCGATGGGACCACTATTCGTAAGGTTTTTTAGGTTAACAGCTTTTCTAAAGATGGTGGGCAGCACGTGGGAAAACTTGTTGGTTGTAATATCGTATCCATATGGACCCAGATTCACGTGGAATTCTCGAACACATGACCAATTTACGAGACTCGTAACTGGGAAAGAGTCCACGTCAAAGTCATCTTCCACAAAAAAACTCATGTGCATGTGAAGCGACGTAAGATTGATTGTGGTAGTTAGTAAATTACGAAAAAATGACCAGATTTGGCTTTGGGGTGTTTCATTAGTTACACGCCACATGTGATTAAGAGCTAGTCGGTCACAATGGAAGCCATGGTTTTGAAAAAAATTGGCAATATTTCTCAAAAAAGCTTGAAACAAGTCGTACGACCATGTCTCACTCGTCCCGTGCGAGATAGTAGTGAAAATTTTAAAGTTTCGGTGCAGGTAGTGCGGATAGGATGCAATGTATGAGGATAGTTCGGGCCCATTACATCGTTTAGATGAGTCAAATTTAATGACAGCCAGACTTCGAAAACGTGGACCGGACAACTTGACCCAGTCGTGGTTAACTTGCCGAGCGATTTTTAGGTCCGAGAGGTTTAAATATGTGAATATGTGGTCGATTATCTATAAAGGATCATTAAGTGTCGTCGAGAGATTTACATAATTATTTTTTATGAATATATGACCTCTTAAATGATAATGAATTTGCATGACATGATAATACGATTTTATGTATTGATTTGAGACTGGTTCAAGTAGGGAAATTTAAACCAGGCTCCAGCCAGTCTCGCCTTAATTGAAAGTTGTCCGTATTTATCTCTCATTTTTTGTATTTTTATTTCAATTTCTGACCTCTCCTTCCCTCCTCTTTTAATTAAATTAAAGTTCAAGGTGTTTTCTGTCATTGGTCAAGAGGAGGAGAGGAGGGTGTTCCTTTTGTAAAAGAAGCGTTCTTTTTTGGTAATATTCTCTGGAACAATTGTGCAAAGTGAACAGTGTCACTCCAGCTACGAGAACAACAACACATATTTTCCCCTCGTCCTCTACACTCTAAATTTGTAATTGGCTTTTGTGTAATAATAAATGACACCACCACAGTAACTATTGTGACCACACCGCCGCCTTATTTACGCCTCACACGGTCACGTTTCGCCCATCGCCAGTTACACAAAATTCACACCACACGCACAGAAACATACATTTCTCTTGTTTAAAAAACTACATTAAGCAAGAAAGAAATTGTTCGAGTTAAATGAGCTACAATATGAATATGATCACAATTAGATTTGTATTCTAATATATTACTAACACTGAAACCTTTTTTCATGCAACACCAGGCTTGTTCAACAAGTTATATCAAAAAATCAAGCCAAAAATTCAGAATCAAATGGATGCCCTGATCATTTCGTTGAAAGGCCAATTTAAAGAAAAATATTGGCAGCAAAGTTCAATTTCTTAGTAAATTTTCTCCTCTTCCTTTACCCTTGGGTAGTTTGACCACCAATAATTTTCTTCAAAGCGATGATAAGCGCTATATGCTTCCTACTTTTTGCCTTGATTTTTCGATATAACTCGTTACCAAATCCCTGTCTAACTTGAAAAAAAAACTTCAAATGTTAGAAATCCTCAATGAGTTACCGTAAAACCTCTATTTATAGCCCTATTCTAATTATAGCCGGTCTCCAAATATAGCCGGGTCTAGAGACCAAGATTTCAAAATTTTAGCCGGGTCTCTAATTATAGCCGGATCCCTAATTATGGCCGGGTATCTAATTATGGCCTGTCTTGCCCGCTGTGTCTTCGTTCATAGCCCATTCAAGAAAAATGTTACACATTATGCTAATCAAAGAATAATTGGAACAACTAATTTTTACCTATTAATTTCAAGTTAATAATGGATATAATAATAAAAGAAATTAAAAAAAAACTGTTAAATTTCGTTTAAAGATGTAGATTTAAAGTGATTGGGTCACTGCTGGCATGTCTGGCTAAATTAGAAAACTCAAATTGAGTCAACATGAATTATACGTTATTTTATAACATCTAAAATTTTGGGCGTAACAAAATTTAGCCGGGTCTCTAATTATAGCCGGTCTCTAATTGTAGCCGGGTCCGTGACCCTCAGTTTTGGAGTTTAGCCCCGGCTATAAATAGAGTATTTACGGTACCCTAAAAACTAATGTGAACTGAATGTCTTCTCTAGCAAAAATAATAAATGGCTCATCTAAAGAGTCAATTCCATCTCATAAATACACGTACATAGTAGTATATATTATGTACATACATGCATGTGCATATTATGACTACAGACTTTTGTTTTCATGAAAATGAATTGATGAGAAATGACCTCAAAACAAAAATTTGTCAAATCAACACCGCCGGTGTCACTATATATATAACTCAACCGCCTTGGTTACAATTGTGATTCCGAGTGGTAATGAAATTTTTTCGTCCGGTCATAACATTATAACTACCGGTATCAAAACCATCATAACTCGAATTCAACATTTTAACCAATGCGGTTAAGTCATATATGTAGTGACACCGGCGGTGTTGATTTGACAAATTTTTGTTTTGAGTGTGGAAAGAAAATTAGGAAATCCACCCCAAATATCTACGTAACTCCACTGAAGACACATAGTAATAATGTGGCTTATATGTAAAACGTAGCTAACCTCAGGGGGAAGAATGCTGAAGGTGTCTCCGGGCTGAAGAATTTCTTCACAAAGTTGTATTTCATTTCCGTTTTCCATTTGTTGGTTAGTTTCCATTTTAGTTTCCCCTTATCGTATCCTGTGGACCAATATTTTCAGAATATATAGCAAACGAGATGACTAGCACAAATACATATGTAATTTCATTACACATATATTGAACTACTCTTCTGGGGTCGGGCATGAAGAATGTGACAATTTCTGCCTTACAAATAAATATTGTGTAACATTTACAACCTGTGCAAATATTTAGTTAATATCTTATCTGTTCAGATTTATTCGTCAGTGCGATTATGAAGATGAGTGACGACGAACTTTTGCCTAGCAAATGAATTTATTAATTTGATCTTAATTTGATTTGACAGGTATGTATGCCGGAATACAGTTAAATTAAGTATCACGATTAAATAATTTTAAGGGTTAAATTTAACGCCCCACTTATTAAGATGAAATTTGCCACTTGATAAGATGATACCTCCCACTGGCTGAAATTTGCCCCATTTATGATTTTAGAGCCACTTAATTAGCTAGTGGTTGATACTTAATTAGATGAATCCCCACTTCGACTAAAGTATTCGAAAATTTCGTCCAAGGTATATACAACATCTTATTATTGATAAGTCCAGACATGTAAAATGAAATTAAAGCAAATATATTACATAACAATTAGATCTTTTCGAGCTCTGGCAACTCTACCCCTTTTGCGTTTTTGCCCCAGGGGTACTGTTTTAGCTTCAGGACGAAGTTCATAAAGCTTCTCCTGAATTGCAAGCCGCAAGATGTGCTTGCATGTATACTCTTTTAAGTAAATAGGGCAGGTGCAAGTCGATTGGGTCCAATCAGCAAGGCTGAGCTTCACCATCCACAATCCTGTAACATAACTGTGATAAGTGTCAAACGATCTCCACGAAGTATTCTCATTTAGCCTGAAATACTTTTTTATATCCTCTTCCTTTAGGGGTGGTTGATTAGAGGCAGAAATAAGTAAACACGAATATTGTTGTCCTCTTTTCGGTAGCTGCTGCTAAATCCAAAACCTGTATTGCACAACGACAATTACTTTTGAAGGTAGACTCACTAATAGTGAAACTCCACGGTACAATGTCAAACCTCGTAAAGGCACACTTATTTATTTAAAATGTATGACCTGTGTGCGAATTATATTTGTAAAAGTTTTGACACGAACACTAAGAATCAAATCATGGAAATTATGAGAAGTTAATAAACCAAAGAAAGAATTTAAAAAATTTTCCAATACTCCATTCACAACGCTAAAGAGAGAGACTAATGCCTTTAATTGGACACAATTAAAAGACTATGGACTACATACATACGTAAACAAATAACAATTAATAATTTAAAGGAGAATTCTCGGACAACATGATTGAAGGAATAAAATTGATTTATTTTCGAGCTTTCGACACAGCACTCGTGTCATCATCAGGGATAAAATTATCTGGAAATCAAAACATGACATGCTTCACAAATGAGAGTCACAATAATTGTTGTTTATAATTGTTATAACAATTAAGAAATATAGGACATATAATTTTTTGAGCTGGTATTTTATTTATTTATGTATGTGCAAAAAATTCACATTTGCATACATATACATATTTACATTACATTCGGCTGGTGGCTCATTTTGACGAATATATATTTTTGTTAACCATGATACAAAAGTTAAACGTATAAATATACACGTCACCATATTTAAATAAATACGTATTTTATAATAAACAACTAATAAATAGTAGCAGATACGTATCATAAATATTGAAATAATTTGAATTTTGTATTACACTAAAAATAAATATTATCTAAATAAATAAGTTTTTATTTATTACTTTAAAGAAGTATTTAAACTAAAATTAGAATGTAACTCTAAATAA